ATTGGAAGCAACCAGTGAGTTCAGGCGTGACATTACTGGGCAGTGTGGTTGTAGCAGCATCTATTGTGCTCATGCAAACAATGATGGAACCTCACATGTTGATCTGATGCCTTTCCGAGAACTCCAAGTCCAGTGGCAAAACTCAAACATAGCGGCACCCCAGTGCTACCTACCTCTCAGCCCCCCTGCAGATGCACACAGTATCCATTTCAAAGCCTTACGTCGCCTTGCTTTTGTGTCTAAGCCCAATATGTAATAACCATGAATACGCCCCTCGCAATGTTTTCTTCATATATAAAAAATGAATTTACCATTTGCAGCCTTTCAGGTAGTTCTCCGGCAGGTTGGAGTACTCTGTCCAGGAACCAGTCAGCATTTGAGGGTTCTGAGTAAAATCTAAGCTGAGCCTGGAGAAAGAGAGACAAAGACGTCCTTGGTCAAAGAGGCGCTCGCAACAAGCTCATACACTCCACTAAAAGCTAGATCTCACATTTATTAAGAGATGAGCACTTAAAGGTTTATAATTGAAGACAATTTTAAAGCTCATTGCTATTTTAGGCACACATCATCCAATAAACTCCCTAGCCTCAGTCAAACACGCTCTGTATATAAAGCAAAGAGGAAACTTCCAAGTAATAAGCTGCTTCATTTACACACAGTGACACTACAGCTGATTGTTAATTAGATTTCTATTAGTTGACTACATTATTGCTCATCCTGGGTCATTTTCTCCAAATTTTAGCATAATGATGTCTGACAGCCTCAAAATAATGAATCAGTTAATGCTCTGGTGCTTTTAGCCGCCCCACTTAAACACGAGTGTCAATTAAAAAAGCACTTCTCAACATCTAACAACACATCATTACTAAACACGACACCCTCACTGTCGCTGATAAACTTAAAGCTTCAAACACATGTTGACTGCATTGATTGGACTGTTAATTATTTCATCTGTCCACAGTCTCCACCCACTCAGCCAAGTTCTGCACTGCTTATATAGTTGGTGGCTGGAGCCTATCATGGACTCGCATAGGTCTAGAGGTTACAACCTAGACAGGTTGTGCATCCACCACAGAGAGACTGTAACTCGTTCATGCACAGAATCACCGATCAACCCCACATGCATGCCTCTGGAGTATGGGAGGACCATACCTGACACATGCTATACAGCCTGTCACCTTAAATTCGTGTTTGATGTTTTATGCAAAGGATTTTGGTTACTTGGCAGATAATTTTAAGGTAGTTGCTAGGCAACATGATGTTGTTACAATGTCCAATACAGATAAGAACCTTCAGAGGCCCAAGATGTACGTTTGGTTGCTCAGCTCCGGGTCACGTAGGAGGAGTTGGGGGACAAACAAACACATAGTCGGAGATTTCATGTATCACAGCATGAAGAAAAGACCCAGTGTTAAACAAACACTGTTCTAAATGCTCCGTTTCAGACAGGTTCTTCTACTCTTGCGACTTGTATGACAGGGAATACCACTGTTATGGTCATTTCAGGGCCGCAGCTCTGGCTGTGAGTACAGAAGCCCCGCCCACCTGTTGTTCACAAAGCTACTGTGAAGCTACCTGCTGGTTTTTGAAGTCCTGCACTAAAGCCACGAGATGAGCGTTTCCACTGTCGCCATCTTGGGTGCAACAGGCCAGATGAGATTGTGCCTAGACCGTGAAACTGCACACTCACTGGTTGACTCTTTTGATTGAAAAGTCATTAGCCAATGGTCTAAGGAGCTTAGAAAAAAAAGCGTCTGGACTTCTTTAAGTTGCTTGAAGACGTTTCACCTCTCATCCGAGAAGCTTCTTCAGTTCTAGGGTCAAATGGTGAAGAGTCCCAGATTTAAGCCCTGTGGGAGTGTCCCCCCCGAGAGGGACAAAAGGACCCCCTATTGATCCTCTACCTAATGACATGAGCCAAGGTGTGAAAATGATTATTAGACTACGATAACCTGGATGACTGAGAACCTTCACAACCTTCATTGGCTCATGAGCATGCAACTCTAAACCATAAGACCTTTTTTCTCTCTCAATTCAATGCAATCCAAAATAACCAACTGCGCCCATTAACTTCTGCACTGGCTTCCTTTTGTTTTTACCTGAAAAAGACTAATTTACCAGTTATGCAAATTTTAACATAAAAAGGGTGTAAGAAAAATTAATAAAAAGCAAACTTCATACTTTTTAAAATATTTTTCAGATTATATCTTCTGTGTTCATCTGCTACAATCTCTTCTAGCAGTTTCTGCAATTTTATGAACACGCATCTTGTACCTAAATATTGCAAACTTACTCTACATTTAAATCTACACATAAACCGTTTTTCTTCCACGTACTGTTGTCCGTCACCGGGGCTCTCTGCAGATCCATCACCGTTGTGTTCCTCCTCTGGTTTTGGCCCTTCTTCTCCATTTTGATGGTATTCTTCTTCTTCCCCGACAACTACTACCTCTTTCCCACTATGACCTCCCTCCTCACACTGCAGCAGGTCTCCTGTTCCTGACAGCAGAAGCCAGATTAAACACAGGTCATCTGTAATCTTAATTTATATTAATATAAGCATATAATCTTGAATTAAAACAGAAACAATCCTGTACCTTCTGCAGTTTGGGCTGGCATTCCCTGCAGCGAGCTAGGCTGTGTTGGTGTTTCTTCATGCCTCTGACCAAGCTCCACAACCTGATCCTGCTCCACGCCCTCCTCACTCATCCTCAGCCTCTTGGCAGATGGCGAAGCCCCTTCCTCTGAGATCTCCCCTGCACCTCCAGGCAGTAAAGGTGGAGGCTGTTGAGGGGGCTCATTATCTGCTTCGGAGTCCTGCCCTGCACCACCTCCACTTTCACCACCTCCCGCGGAGTCTGACATCTTTGTTTACCTCCCTCTCTCTCTCTCCCGTGAAGCCCTCCACCCAGCTTTCAAGCGCCCGGTGTCCAGCAGTCGGCTGTCAGACGTGGGTGAAGTAGGTGCTACTGGGGTAGTGCTTCCTCCTGCAGTGTGGATGTTTGAGTCTGTTGGGGTACGAGGACATCACAGCACCCACCAGCCTAGGAAACATTGAGTCGAGAAAACACGAAGACGAGAAAAGCGAGACCAACAATGAGCTCGTCAAAACAACGGAAGACCATGATAGCACGTTCACGAAAACCAGGAAAAAACCGTTAAGTCAGACTGAAGATAAAGTGAACGTGCAGCTGCTGTGAGAAGAGCACGTCACTACCTCACAGCACACACCTGTGGCTAGTCGTGACTGCCAGCTGCCTCACCAAACTAGCATTCGCGTCTATTTGGTCAAGTTAAAGCTTGAGCGATACATATTACATTCTTTCTACATGTCCACGCACGCCCGGTTGCTATTATGCATAATGGATGATTCTGGTAAATAAATCAATTAGAGAAATTTGCTTTAGCTTCTTATCGAGCGTCCCTTCACATCGGAGCACACACTTTAGCCCAAGTTAGCATTAGCCTACGTTAGCAATCTGATGCTATATACCTGTGTTGTGGCTTGCCTGGCCTTTAGTTGTGTTCGCGGTTTGGCCGAAAAGCAAAACCCGCAGAATCAAGAGTTTCACCAAAAGCCGGAGAAAAAGACCGAATACACAAAACTAATCGCCGTCTTTCTGCTTCGGGACTTTGTTTCCCTTCACCATCTCATTACGAGAAGTTGTAAACACTGCGGGCGGCCATGTGCTTCAAACTATCGCGAGAATTCATTGGACGAGACGCGCTCAGTGAGTGCTGATTCTATTATGTGCGGATAAGCGTGATTCATAACAAGATGTCTTCTTGGCTTTTTACTCAAACTTCATAGATAACCAAAGAACACACACAGAGTCGGTCACAGCTAAATGCTATTTATTTAGTATTTATTTTGTTCTTCAAACAAAAGCCAAACTATTTACACTTCTTTTCAGTTGTTCTTTTCCAAAACATTTTCATTACATGTATGCTGTTATTTTAACAACATTCAAAGACGTATTAAGTGAAGGAGCTGGGCTGACTGGGGTATAACCACGAGTCCATCATTACAGTCGGTGTTACAGTAACCAGCAAAACTGAACCAGGTAATCTTTCCATCTATACTTTCTATCCTGAAGCAGGCGGGTCAAGCTGCTCATCAACCAGGGTCTTTAGACACAATACTGTGGTTTCTCTGATCATAAAAGCTTTTGTAGTGCAGTAAAATAGACTGATGATTCATCCATCACAGTATCAGCTTTTTTTAAAAATGTGATAACATTTAAAGTAATAATTCAATATCAATTCAACAGTTATGACATACCAATGCCAACTGTGGCTATTTCACTTACCTATAGAAGAAAACTGCACACCACACCCACAGTTGACCAGAAACTTTTAACAAGTCTAAACTGACGGTATTCAATAAACATCAGTTTCCATTTGGATAAAAAACTGCATATGTTTGGTTATAAAGAAGGAAAAAACAAACAAACTATAGAATGACTAAAAACACGAATCTCTTAAATTTAATGAGACATACAGAGTAAAGACGTGGTCCAAGAAGACCTTTCAGATTTCAGACACACCACAGCCTGGTCGCTTCCGCATCGATTCAATGCCATCACTGATGGTCAGCAGCACTATTAGATACACAGATTTTAGTGTCAAACCCCACAAATACTACCAACCATCATGCATGCCTGTTCTTACAAGCACTCCTATAAGACAAGTGTGAATCACTATGTCAAAACTGTAAAAAGATCAAACTCCTAAAACATTTTATTCCCCTGGAGTGTAAAGAAAACAAATCAATTTGAGGACGACCTGCCACTCTGGTTCAGTTTTGCCGAGGACTGTATCCAACAACAGATACGACACAGCAACAAGCGCGTGCTCTGAGATGAACCTCTGCATATTACCCAGTAAGCCCAGCTCCAGGCAGCACAGACTTCAGCCCTTTGTCAAGCCTGCACCTTCAGCAGTAATCTAAATAGGAAATCTCAACGAATCCACACTTTATTTGGATCAAAACGGAAAAAAAAGGGCAACAAAAATCCAACCACCAGTAAAATTAGATCAACCAAAAAGCTCTCATTGCTCTATTCTTTAGTTAACTAGTATCTTTAAAGTAGATCACATTTACACTTTTATACAGGACAAGTCTGTCAGCGAACAGACGTCTTGTTAAAACGTTCTTTAGAGTACAGTTAACGAGGTGGTTTCCAACTTAAACTGAGAACGTTTTCATTAAGCCATTTCAGACTGAACTATACAATTTAAGGCATGTTGAACAAAGAAATAAAGCAAAAGCCATTATGGAGAAAACTCAAAAACACTAACTTTTACATTATTTACAAAGCTCAGCGTTTATGCTGCTGGGCGTTGATGCTTGTGTGTCTTTGTGTCGTTTGATATTGTGTATCTCTGGTGTGTGTGTGCATGTGTGTGTAGACATTGTTCCAGAGGAGAGCCGATGTAACTTTAGCTGAGTGTGTGCATGTAGTGTGTCTGCCTGCTCCTTTGGACTTGAGAATTTATGTGACATATGATAGTTTTGTGTTTTGTTTTCAAAAGTCCTTTTTCTCCTTGTACAATTCTTTCAGTTCATCCAGTTCCACAGCAGCAGCCTTTTGCGATGGCTGAGATGTAATCCGGCCACGTCCACCGAAACTCATCCCAGCACACTGTCTCTGACATCTGGGCAGGAGAGCGGCTCGTCGGTCCCAATGGCTAGAAGACCTTTAAGACCACCCTCCGAGAGTTTTCCGGCTGAGGTGGATGATGAACTTCTGGGCAACGCAAGCCTTTGTATCCTCTTCTTAGATGGAGTGTGGGATTAAATCCTTAACCGAACACTTCCAGCAAAAAGGGGATGAAGAGTTGATAAACCTGTAACTTCATCTGTCCAACGTATAATGCCATTGGCCTGCCCACACTGAGGTCAAAAAAAGTTTCTTAGGGTCTAAGTTCAAAAGGACAGGTTTAGGGTTCACTGGTTCATGGGTTGGCTGTAGATAAGATCCTCCTTGCAGAGGGCAGCAAATAAAGCACAGCCAGACTCCTGTGAAAACACATAGAAAGAGTGCAAGACATAATCAGCAAAACCTGAACACAGGCATTAACAGAGGACAGGACTGTATATAAATGATGGAAGTGGCAACTGTTAAAAGTTCTGTTGTGAAGCCTTGAGCTGAATATTTCCACTGTGGTGTTTTTGTGATGAACAAGGATCAGCGCTTATTGAGACACCAGGGCATAATGCAGACTCACAGGCTACCCCACTTTTTCATGCTAACCGGCACCAAAATTTGTTAAATGAACATAAAGTTTCAGCAAGACTTGTAATGCCCACAAGACCGCAAAGTCTTTCGCCAGGAAGGACTTTAAATAAGGTTAGTTTTCTTGTAGCCTTCCAAACGCCCTCTGCTGGACGTTAGAGAGAGAACGGAGTTACGGCAACGCTACACTGGCTTCACTTTTTATTCTGGCCGCTACATCTAGTTTTATTACAGCCTTACAATAATCATCTACCACAATTTTAATTTGCCATAGTAAATTATCCATTAATTTAACAAATCCATGAAGGTGCGGAAAGCAACCTGTAACTTTACGAAAGCTTCATTGACCAATAATTTTTGTCATAGTTTGTCAGCAACCTTTTTCCTGCTGACGGAAACAAGTCAACTAAATGAAAATGTATGGACACTTCCATCAGCAAATAACAAGATGAAGATATTCTGGAGGGACTAGATCCAATCTGAACCAATTCATTAAATTAAGTAATCTCCTCGTGCAGTAAGGTTAGACGCACAAATTTGATCTGCCCCGGGAAACAGTAAGTTTTCTTTCTTTTTTTTGAGGTGGCGGGAAACGACACAACTCCCATCCTTGTTTCTCATGAAAAAGCAACAATTTTGAGGATTGAGAGGAAGAGAAGACACATGTACACAGTTCACACGTCAAGGAAAATAAGAGGTTTTGCAAAACGTGTGGAGCGCCGCTCACCAGTAAAAACACGACAAATTCTAGATTTTGGTCAAATCGATTTTAGATTTACTATATTTAGGCAACTAAATTATGACTAAAATTAAAAGTTTTAGTCAACAGACTAAATTTACTGGGGAAATTAACACTGTAGAAAAGCATTAAACAAAAACAAAAAGGATAAAAACAATTAAAATTCTGGAAGAACATCTTACCAATGCCAAGCACTTGTCCTCCGGTAGTCACTCTGCAGCTCTTGAGGCTGTCATCAGTGTCCATCTCTTTACTGTGCGTGTTGATCAAACACTCTTGGTGGGCTCTTTGTAGCCACTGCAACATCCATTTTGATAAGTAGCTATCAGTCAGTCTTGGAGCCACTGCAGCATGGCCACCACCTCAGCCCATGTGGTTTTACGTTCCTTCCCCGATTACTTCAGGGCTACTGGCAAACTAAACTCTCAGCGAGTCCCATCTCAAACTAGATTTAAAAAAAAAAAAAAAGATTGGTTTTCTTGAAGAACATTCACTCCATATAATCAATGAATTTTCCTTCATCCATTTTGCATTTTTTTTCTTTCTACTCTGAAAGGTAATACAAAAATATGGTTATGTACAGGAGGTGGGAGAAGACGAGCTTCTCGAGTCTCTTATTTCAGTTTGGGAATTTCTTTTTCAGTGACTTTGTCAAAGTCGTAGCAATCCTCCTGTTGTAATTGTGCTCCCATCCCCAAAATTGTACCTCACAGCTTGAATGAACAAAAGTGCATAGGTGAGTCGGTGAGGGCAGGGTGCGAGTGCTTTCGAGGGCCGAGGTGAAGACGAGAGCACCGAGCGGATGCGCTCATACCGTCCTCTCAAGTTCCCCCTCCAGGGTTTGCAGCCCTGCACTCGGTTCTCCACAAAACACAGCCCCATCCTTGATTTTTCTACCTCCGCTCCACGGCTGATCAAGTCTCAGGACCCACGACACAGATCTAGTTAGAGGATCCTGTCCATGTTGTTGTGATGCCTGCCACTCTTCCTCAAAAACAACGAACCAAAATAAACAAAAACACCACCACACCACTCAATGTCCTTATGGCAGAAGCGCACTTGCAAACCCCACCCGTCTCATGTGGGAACAAAAAAAAGATAAAACAAAAGAATAAAACTGCACCCACAGATATCCATGTGGCTTGTAAACAACCAAAGCTCCAGTATGGAATAGAAAGAGTCCTTTCTTTAGTCACCATTTGTACGACCAGGATTGTAGAGGCAGTGTGTTCAACTGTATCCATCTCGAGTTTGTCTCTCTCCTCCACTGTGTAAATGAAAAAAAAAAAAAAAAAAAAAAAAAGACCCCGCTCAACTCTTTGAAGCTTTTTTCGGTTTTGTTTCCATTTTTGAAATCTTCTGAGGAACAAAAACAAAATCTTGTATCAGCACGGGTTTCTTGTCATTTTTTTTTTTTTTGGAATACATTCAATATTTTCTTAAGAAAAGAAAAATAATACACACTTCACATGGCAAAAAATGAAAAAAAAAAAATTAAGGAAAAGAAAATTAAAAACACACAACAAAAATAGCAGCCCCAAGTGCTCATCTTAGTCCAAATACTTTTTAAACTTTGTATATAATGTATATATTTATATATATTTTTCATTTAAAAAAGAAAACTCGTCATTATCAAATTGCAACAACGAATATGTAACACAATATGCTAACATTTCATGCACCGCTCTGTGCACTCGCACATTAAGATGCTGTATTTTTTAAATTGTTTTTTTGTGGTTTTTTGTATTTCAGAGTCAGAAACTCGACACCTTTCATTCACAAGTTCGAGAGCTGACAAAAGGCAACGTGATCACACCCCCAGGAAAAACACGCTGGACTAAGCCTTCCGATGGATCACCCCTAGACTCAACTAGAAATATTTACCATAGAAACGTACATACTTTACATACACTGTGCTGAGCACTGACACGCACCACACTCGCTCTCAAAAAAGAGTTAATGTCTCGATGGCCATGCACCCTATCCAAGTTCTTAGGCACAAATGTGCATTCATACACATACAAGAAAACAACAACAACAAGAAAAATGAGTACCTGTAGTTTTAACTCATTTCTATGAACAGTAAATGAACATGTACTCTAAACACGCACACTGAAAATCTCACTCGCATGCGCACACAGTAATGTCCCTCATGATTCGCCACGTCTGCTTAGTCCCTTCCAGGTCTAGAGACGGCTCCCCATGGGGAGAAGCTCAGGGAAAGAAACTAGTGGTGGTCGTCATGTGATGAGAGCAAAGCTAACATTTACAAATATATGCATTTCTGGTTTTCTATCAGGGGATGAAGAGCTGGTGAGAGAAAGGATGTGTTGTGCAATTGCCCTCTCTCTCTCTCTCTCATACACACACACACGAGCATTCAGTCACACCCATAAAACACACACGTCCTTGTCTGGAAAGGATCACATACACACACTCACTCTAAACATGAATACAAAATGACTATCCAAACAGAAAAGACAAAAATGGCCTCTTATGTTTCATACATCTTGGTAAGCAACAAAAGACAAAAAACTTGTGCAGACTGTATATTACTGACACAACTCAGCCGCCACACATCAGCCACACCCAGTCGCTCATACACATTCACAAAAATATTCACTTCTAACTAACCCCATTTGTTTTCTTTTTTTTTGTCGTTTTTCTTATTTCGTTTTTTTAGGCAAGTGCAAATCTTCAAGTTTTTTTATAATCCATTTTTCAATAGCTTTACTTTTTTATATAAACGTAAAAAACAGAACCAAGAAAAAAAAAAATGCTAAACAAGAGAAATATCAACAGTGTTTGTCTTTTGAGAAAGGATTTGCTCTCTGATAAGGTTTCAACTAAAGGTCCCCCTGAATTTGAAAACCTAACGTCCCGCCCGCTCGGCCCTGCTCGCTGTTTTCACCGCCGCCTTCCAGTTCTGCCGCACACGCCGATAATGTGCATGTACACACACCGTATGCGCACTGATTCTGAACACGCACGCATACACACACACGAACAAAAAGAAAAACTATTCAAATCCCATCTCAATAAAGTGCATTAGTTCAGTATAAGGTGCTTAATCTTTTGAGTGCCAGAGGATACCCATCATCCTTTTAACCTCACCGCGCCTCACCCCCCCTCTCCCCTGCTCTAGTGATCAACTGGTGCAGCAGGGAGCCCTTTTTATTTTTTCTATCCAGAGGGAAAGAACGAGTGGGAGGCGCTGAACTGGGCGCCTCCACTCCACACCTCCCCCTCACCACCATGCTTGCCCCCCTTTGTACCCCACAACCCCCAGTTCGGTTCCCCCAGCAGTGCACATTCGTCATCAGGTTTGTCTGATTAAAAGACAGAAGGCCTCAGGTAGCTATTGCTGCTGCGCTGCGTCACATCAGTAATCCTCCACCATCTCCATCTCATTCAGGCTCATACAGTCGCCCGTGTTGTGGAATGAGTACCCTGCAGGTAGGAGAGGGCACAGAGAAGAGAGGGGAGAGAGTACACCAAGATTAGAGAAGGATGGCACAAGGGGTTAAAGGCTGGCTTAGACACTGACAGGAGGGAATAAAGAAAACGATATAAGAAGAGGTCTTGGCTTCTTCTTGGTTTCTTTGCTAATTCGGATTTTGTCTGAAAAGGTTTTCGGAAAGCGAATAAACAGCTACAGTGTTAGCATTATAAGGAAGGGGGACGCAACCACAGCCCACTGCAAATTACACTGTGTCAGAGAAGAGTGAATAAGCTGTGTTTATACTGTTTTACATATCAACAAGTTGGACTCTTAACGCTCCCTGAGACGGAGCATTGGTAGCTAGCTGATTTATTATTGCATCTCTACTCTCGGTAGGTCATTTAAGCAGATCAGTGTTATACACTGGAAACAACGTGGTTTCACTTCACAGATAATCCTACTGCACAAATGACTACATTTTCCACTTTGCGTTTCCATGCTAAGCATTTCCTCTAGTGAGTAACTCATGTACTTGATCTGGGCTCTGAACTAAAAGCTAAAGGTGGGTGTGAATAAAAACGACGGCTACGAAAAGGATCGAAAACTAACTCAAACTAAGCTGTGTAAAGAAAAACTGGCAATATGAACATATATGGGAACTATAACTAACACCAACAGTACTAAATACGCTCTAGAAACAAACAAAAAACTGGACAGAAGAAAACTAAACAAAATTAAAACCTAAGAAAAAAACTTTTTGGTAAAGCTGTCCATGCACGTGGTGAAGTAGTTCAAAGGAAAAATCTTAAAAGCTCTTGAGGTCGCATACCTAAGATGCTGGGGTCAGAGTGCAGCATCATGGGCTGTTTCTTCTTCATCTTTCCTCCCTGGTTATCATAGAGACCAGCCTTGCCCATGTGGTTGGCCTGAAACATGGACTGCAGAGTGTTGGGATTCATACCTCGCATTGAATCCTAAAAAACACAAAGTAAAAATGATCAAGATCGTAACAGTGCCAGGTTGGACGTGACCCTTTGATGTTTCCGTTTTCTTTTCGAGTTTCGATCCAGGAGACTCCTCATAAAGAAATTAAAGTTTTCACTGTCTATAAAAAGTCTTTAATGCTGTAGTAAAGTTATAGTTGTAGTAAAGGGGAGCACTCATTGATGCTGTGTTAATAACAATTCTGCGTGTATGGCTTAGAGGCATGTCTGCATTTACCTGCAGAGGGAAGTTCATGTTCAATCCAGCCACTTCCTTTGATAACTAGGACACAAAGAGAAGAGGAGGAATTAAAGCCACTCTCAGCCTGTTAATAATACTTTTAAACACATATGTGCAAAGCCTGACCTTCATCCAAAATATTCACTTCCTACAATTTCAATCCAGCCAACCACAGAAGGTTTGTGT